ATGTGTCCACTTTTTCGTAAACAGAGCCCTGTAATAAGAGTTTTTCTGTCGAAAATCCCCCGTTTTTTCGTGCAGCATTACAAAACTTACTCTCTACTCCGTAGCGAGAAAGTAAAAGATTCTGCAACACTTTTAGAAGAAGAATGATGCAAATTGAAACTATTATAGGCTACTAGAACTGAAAGTTCGATTTTAACGAATGAAATTGTTCGAATCATTACTGTTATTATTAAATCTGACTAGCTAACCCCTCTTTTCAAGTAGTTTTTATTACACAGGAGCGGATGTTTTCATTCCAATTCTCGGCAAAAACGGCCGTTGCTACCTGTATTCAGCATAATGTGTATATGTGTTAAGGGCAAAGATCCCAGAGTTCAAGAAACATGTGCAGATTGCATTTCTTCCCGTAGTATGTTAAAACAGTTTTTAACTGTTTTCGACGTTAACTAAATAAATAATCCTTAATTAAAAACCAATCAATGATTTTCTATATATTACATATTTGCGTAGAACAGTGGTACACACAAAAACATATCGTAAAGACCATTATTGATTGGTTTTTTAACTGAAATAAATAAATATTGTTCCGGAATGCTCTCTACATGTAGTGGTGATACAAAATGTCAACAAAGCAACTAAAACGTTCAAACATCGAAATTTTCAACACCCGCCTTCCCAATTAAAAAAGTACGTAGTTCATCGAAAGTAATCACAAAAATTATAGACCCAGCCCATTCTGGAACTAAAAATATTTGTTTTCCTCCGATGTATACAGAGAAATCTGTTTTCGTCTCCTTGTGATTTCTATACGAGATATCAATTCACAAATAATAACAAATTTTTAAATAGTAGTAGTGCTTCGTATAATAATAATTATTATTATATAATCACTATTATCGAGAGTGGTTTGAAGAAATCTATACACCTATATCAAGTAAATTACAAAATAATCGTATACTAGCAGCAGGTCGTTTGCCATTCTTTTTAAAATATACTCTGCGCGCCATCTACTAGATGTTCTACAAAACTTTTTCACAGTCTATCTCTGAAAATACGATCTGCGCGCACTGTATCTGTCGAACATAAAAACATTGTGAAATCGGAGTTTCTAAAATCGCTGAGCGCTCCCTCTACCAGATTCACATCGAAACACATTCGTGTTTTTTCGAGATTATTCGATTTCACGTATCTTCAACCGTCGCAGTCGTTACGGCGAATCGAGAATGCCATGAGAATCGAGTTTCTTCGAACCGTCTGTAGATTTCACAGTGTTGCCCAAGTGTTGACGTCTGCTGTGGTAGCCGGTGAAAATATTGTGCGTAGGGTTAGTTTAACTTTATTGACAGTGTATTTCCAATTTTTGTTTTTATGTCTTTTAATGTTAGTGTAGTGTATGTGTAGTGCAGAAGTTTTGCGAGTCATCTTACAGGACGTTATCGATTGGCTTGTGTTGTCACCGAACCTTAAAATGACAGCCTAAATCGTAATAACATGTATTTGTGATGGAAAAGGTGTAATATGGGTATTAGTGACTGGGATAAGATGCTTCCAGAGCCAGAGCTATTAGGAAAATATTTTCACGAGCAATTTAAAGTTCTTCCTGAGCAACAAAGGTAAGTTACACGAACGGTTTTGGAACGCTAGTTTTCAAAGTCTCTAATTTCGTTAATATTTCCGATTATTATTCTTAATTTGAGTGTAGTGAATGACTGCATAATGAAGTTTCGGTTTCTCGCATTTCCTTGTGTACTTGCAAGAATCTAAAGTTAAAGGTCATAAGGTGTTGATCGGCGAATTGTTTGTAGCAGGAAAAGAGCAGAATGGAAGAAAGGCAAGACGAGCAAAGCCGTAAAAGCGAAGGACAAACGGAAGAATAAACTCGAAGGATGCGGTGATGTTGTTCCTCTATCAGGACCTCCTGAAGTAGAGCTGCCCACTAATGCTTCTAGTTTTGCAGTTTTTGCCAGTGTGCGCTTGGCAGTTCTTGAACGATGGATGAAACAGGCATGTCAGATTTATTTGGCCTCTTCATCTAGTTTACCTACAGTAGATGGAGCAGGAAGTGATGGAGAATCAGATAGTGAAGATTGCACAGACCGTGCCAGAGAGAGTGCACCTTTGCGAGTACCGAAGGTGAGTTGTTTGCTTCAGTGGCTACTCAGAAATTGCCTTAACCCAATCACATTCTTGTGTAAGGGATATCTCTAGTTATACTGAAATATAACATTTTCTTTCCAGCTTTACAAAGTAAAAGTCCACATTTTCACTTGAAGTAATGTTTGTTGTTTTGTTTCTATAGATTGTTGGTGTGGGATTACGCAGTGTATTTGAACTTATTAGAGAAAGTCGTTCTTCCCATCCTGCATTATGCACAAAGGCGTTAGGTGCTTTATTAGATGTTCTACAAGGTCAGCAGCCAGAAGGATTGAAAGATGAACCAGCAGAAGTTTTAGGTAATGTAATTGAATTGTGAAGCGTGAAATAACTATTTTATTTAGAAATCATAGTGATGGAAATATAAACAAATTACTAGTTTTTTTAGCGTAATGTGAAGGCTTTTATGATTTATTCTGATCTTTGTTTGAAAAAAACTATGCTCTATACTTCTTTCCATAAACTTGAAGAAAACTGGAAGGAAAATTTGAGGGACAACCATTCTATGAATGCCACTTGTGTAGTAGTGGTTAAAAATAATGCTTTTTATTTATAGAATTACCTATTTCCCTTTTAAAGATTTAGATGTTTGTAAAAATCTACATACTCTGCAATAACATAACAATAATAGTATTATAACAACTTCCTTTAATACAAAAGAGATTTAGGTTGCCGTCCCCTCTTACACTCCAACATATTGTGAACACAAACATTTTTTAATTATTGAAAACTGACCATTACCTTTTTTGAATTATCAAAAACCAACAAACATCCAATTTAAATAAATTAATTTGTCCCATTCCATAAGAAAGCAGAATGCTTACATTCATGTCATGGTATTCTATTTTTCAAAATGAAAACAATGTGTTGGCTAGTTGCAAACATTTAATAGAGTGTGTTTGGGAATATGTTTAACAAATTGTTTCTGAAAATACTTGAACATTTACAGAATTTAATCAGGTGTGCTCCTAACTTTCATGGCGAAACTGTAACTCTGAAATTAAATTATCCAAATACAATGTTCTAAACGTAATAATAAATATAAATTTTAAGTGGTTGAAATAAGTTTCATAAGCACCAATCATATCTTTAAATTATTAAATGTCGCATTAAAAAGTACTGTCTTTCTTTTGATTGCTGTTCTCTTCTTTTTCTTTCATATCAAGTGCCTCTCAGTCTCTAAAATTGTATCTTCTTCATGTGTTTAATGTAGTGTAACGTAAATTCTAAAACTAAGATATGGAAACTAACTGTACCAATGTAAGATGAAAGTAGATTACCATTTAGGATACGAGTTCAGGTTCTCTTATCAAGTTATGATAAAAAGAGTTTATTTCACATTAGTTAAATGCCTTCTCTTTCCTCTAATTTGTATGAAAGTAGATATACAAAGAAATATGAAAATGAGTGGTGCCATAGCCTCTTTCAGCCAGACCTCAGAACTGGCCTGGTTTTCCTGTGTTACAATCGTCCGATCGTGTAATAATGCGTGACTGTGGCTGAATTGCCATCAGTACAGCTTAGGGTGTCGGAAATACAGTACAAGACAAAACATTGTCAAAATAGTGTATCTTAGGTCTGTCTGGAAATCTAAGATATCTAAATTTCAAAAATAACAGTTTTTTGGAGATGTAGTGCAGTTAAGAAATGATTTATTTTGTAAGTATAAGAGGTTGAATATTAATGTGCAATTTTGTTGCAATTAAATAATCTTTAAATGATTATCACACTTTTTTAAAAATAACTTTTATTATAGATAAAAGCCTAATGTAATGAAGTATACTAAAGCATGTAACGGAGTCCATTAAAAACTGTTTAATAGTGAGACTGAAATTGTTATTTTTTCATTACATTTATTCCCAGAACCTTGCTCAAATTAAACAGTTTCAGTTTATAAATGACCTTCATAGTTCTGTGCAAATTATTACATTTTCTTCAAATCTTTAGAAGTGACTCATAAGTTTAGAGTAGTGACCATGTCTGTAGTTTTGGGAATTTTTCAAATACCTCTGAATAAGATATTATCTTTTGTTTGGGGGGGGGGGAATACTTCAAAAATTGAATGATGTTTTGGTGATATTGTTTCTCTCCTATCTGGCAAAAGAAAAACAGTAAATATAATAAAGTTGAAGTTGACAAATTGCTATGTATATCTTCATTTTATATTTTCCAGATTAAATATTATTTAAAATGAGAGCAACTGAAATATAAAATGTTGTGACCTTTCCTTCAAAGTATTTGATTAATATTTTCCCAGGGAAGTCCATAATGTGTTTTCTGTTCATTTGTCTTAATTGTTCGTATGCTTTGGGTGCTACAGATGCATTGTTTGACCTGCTCTTGAATTTGGCCACATCACATGGTCCAGAATCAGCTGCAGCTGACGATGGCAGTCACTTGACAGCAGTGGCATGTGCTTGTTTGTTGAGTCTGGTGGTTGTGCGAGGAGACACAGGCAAATTGTTGAGTGCTACTGCCGCTTTGCTTATGTGTCCTCGTGCCCTAGCTTCACAGAACATTCACGTAAGTAGTAGTAGTAGTAGTAGTAGTTGTGTGTGTTTTGTTGTCGTTTTTGGTCAGAGTACAAAGTGTTTGAAATTGTGTTTATCTGTGAAGTTTGAAGTTGGTTAAGGCACCAAAACTTATTTGATGTAGGAAAAATTGCATTTTAATAAAAATGTTTTTAATCAGATTATAGGATAGTTCAAATTTTCAAACCAGTCCTGTCAAAAATCAACTCAAAAAATGTCTTATGACAGTAGAGTTAAAAAATCATTAATATTTTGTAAAATATAGATGATAGTTTCTTTTTTTAAATATCAGGTTTATGAAAGATTAAAGATTTTTAAATGGCTGTATGTGAATTTAAGTAATGTAGTTTAATGACTCTTTCGTTTTATTAACACTAGTCTACTGTAATTTTTTGTGTTCGTCATTTCTCCAAAAGGTCTTCAATCCAAAACCATTTCTGAAATTGAATGACAATTTTATATTTATATTACTACTTGCTGGTTTGATTTCTTTAGTGTCTTTGAGAGGCAGTACTGCGCAAGTACTGGAGGGATTCAAAACAAACATTGATTACTTAAATTCTCATCTTAGTGCTTTTGCTGGGCAGTGAATCAGATGGATGTATACCATACCTTATTGCTGAGGGCCAGTGAAGAAAGTTGTACAGCAAGAGAGTGACCTTTTTTCTTTGCTTATCCAGTGTACAATATTGTCATAAAGTTTTGATTGTGATTTGAGTTCTCTCATGTAGTAAGGTACCTTTAAATGAAATACTTTGTACGCATCTAGTTTGATATTATTAAATTTAATATATGTTCTGCACTGAATACAATTTGTAACTGATCATTGATTCCTGGTTAATGAATGCAGTGTGTCAGAATATTTGCAATGTGCAAAGCTGTATAAAAATAACAAGAAATTATAAATGTTTAAGTTTCTTTTCGATATTGCAGTTTTGTTTCAAAATTCTGTATTTTCTTTCATTTGGGAGTGAACATGTTTTTGTGGAATCCTCATGTAATGACAAAAACAGTAACTCCAGATAATAGGTACTTTCAACAATATGAATAATTTTGCTAAGTATTTTGACTTGTTCTGGGAGAGAAAAAGGAATAGGAATTGAGTACATATTGACAAAATTGCTGATCAATGTTTTCAATTGTTGCCTTGCAGATGCCAGCTGTCTTGGCTGCATTGCAGAGGAGTGTACATGGAGTACTTCTGGGAAGAGTAGCACGACCTGATTGGTTCACCCATGGAGTACCCAAAAATAGTCGCATTGACTCTTTCCATGTAAAGTTAGGAGGAGGAAGATTAGGACCATCTGCTGTAGCTGGTAAGGTCATGGTTGTGACTCAAAAATTTAAGATATTACATGCAATTATATCTATGTACATAAATAAATGTGTACATACATTAAATGTATACACACTTTTCTCTAAATTTAAATACATGATCTGGAATGTTTTCTCTTGTAAGCTGATGAATTGCCCTATCATTCTAATTTTAGTTAAGGATTATTACAAAAAACATGTTGCAATATTTTAGATTCTTTTAACCCCCTTCTCCCTTTTTTAACAACTTAGAAACTTAGTAACATCTCCCTGAGATAAATACTCCTTTTCAGATTCTCTCTAGCTCATTTACGCAAAAGTGACTTCACTAAAATTGGGTAAAATCTCATAAAAAATTTAAATTGTAATTGATAGGGATATTTTTGATTAATCTTAACATTTATTTCATATTTGAAGTTCGTAATTTAATTTTAATTACAACGTTCATATGAATAGAACATTACATTCATATTCAAGTAATAACTTAATATTCAACATTAATTTTTGTGTCAATTTCTGCTGACTGCATTGAATATGGAAATTAAGTAGATTTATTATTATTGTTGTTGTTGTTGTTATTATTATTATTATTATTATTATTAAAATAATTAATTTATTTTTCCTTATGTGTTCTCATTCAAGTGCATTTAATGTTTAAAACTTCACTGTTTTCAGATGTACATGGTATAGGCCTCTGCTCTCGTAGCATTGCTAGTGATGGCCAATACTTATATCTCTACACATCAAGAGGACTCTACAAAGTGGGTTCTGGATATGGTTCAACAATTAAAGGTCATGTTTACTTACACAAACCTGATTTGTATGCAGATGAGCGTGGTTGGTTGGGATATGCTCATGTAAGATCATATTTACTAATTTTCTTTAATTATAATTTGTGGGGACCTGCTAAAAATTATAATAAAATTTAAATGATGAGAATTTTATATTGAAATTGTTAGGGGTTGAGTTTAAATCAGGTTTTCTTATACTTTTTTGGGTTGTAGATCACTTTTATTAAAATACAATAAAATTATTAAAATTGTAGACCCTTTACAGTAATTAAAATGTCCTAATCAACTTAACTAAGTTGTACAGTATTCTATGTGAAATATTTCACTAAATGTTGTAAATTAAGTTTTATTTGCTAGTTAAGGCATTTAAAAAGATGCGTGCTACAGCAAATGGCATTATTATGTGCAACATTCAAATTAGAAATCTGCATTAGCAAAAATTTAAGCTCAACAGACACGAGCAGTTGTAACATTTATGAAATAGAAATACAATTTAAAATAGTCCATAAATTAAAATCACATTATTAGATATACGAATTAGTAAACAGAACTATCTTATTCGTGCATGCATCTCAAGTTCATGAATGCAATGGTTTCCTTCCTCGCACCCACTTTGCTCAGACATGAAATGTGTGCTTTGTATTTTTCATGCCAAAATATGAATGTTTATTTGTGGGACAAGAGAAAACATTTATCTTTTTAATTAATAACCTATTGAATATTTTGAACTGACCAATTCATAATAATAATAATAATAATAATAATAATAATAGTAATAATGATAATGATAATTTAGCGAGTAGTTAATGGCAAAGGGAGTGAAGTTTTAGCTGTCATTGAGCCCTAATTTTTTTATTAAACAATCGACCCCTAAGAACTTACTAATCAAGTTCAAGGGATCAATATAGACCACCTTGGGAGTGATTGGATTAAAAGAACTAATATTCAATTCCATGTGTGTTTTAGGGAACACTATTCTTCAAATGTGTTGGAAAAAGAGGCTGCGAATTGCTCGCTTTAGATCGTAACACTTTGAAAGTAGCAGAAATTGTGCCCCTTGATGGTAAAGATTGGTCTTCCAGTGTTATGTTTTCTGATGGTGACAACTTGGGTGTGATAACATGTGCAAAAGATGTAAGTTTCATAGTTTTCTGTTACTTTAATTTAATTATCATCACATTCATCACCCATTATTTTCCTAATATCTTACAAAGATTTTTGCAATTGTTTGTAGATGTTCACATATCTCTCATCTGTAGATCTTTAGCTTCTTAAAGTACACTCCTGTCAGACAAAAATAGTAATAAATTATAGAAGAAAAATACCTATTTTGTATATAAGCATTAAAAGTGACCTTTTTCGTTGCTAGAAATTGCTCATTAAATAGCATTTTGTGGTACAGATTATGATGTATTGGCCATTTATATCACAAATAATTGCATTATTGCATTCGCAGTGTAAATAACAGCAAGCAAATTGCACAGATGTACCAGTTAACTGTGCAGAAAACAATTGTTTTTCACATAAATGTCAAATTCTGAAGTATTTCTGAAGTATTAATATATAACACTGTGTGTCATCATAATGCTGACATCAGTGCCGATTACGACAAAAGTCATTTCCAAAATTAACTTGGGTTTTCTATAAATGTTTAATATTATACAAAAAATAGTCAATGCAACTCATTTATGTTGCTTTAATGCATTCACTTGAATTTGAAAACCTGCTCCCACATCTTCAAAACATGTACTTATGCAGTAAAGCTTGAAATTATAAACTGTTTACATAATATCCTGTGTATGTTCATGAATTCTGATTTATCTTTAAAGATGTTTCCCTTTGAAAATTATCTGGAGGAGTAATGAAAACATTAAACATCAAAATACAAAAATGAAATATTACGTCATAATATTATGTTTGTAACCCCAAAATTCAAAAATAGAATTATTTACTCACAACCTACTTGCAGACGATCCAATTTACGTAATTTTCTTTTGATAAGTGATTTTTGGAATTTTAGTAAATGCATGCATGCAAGCATGCATCAAAGAGCTTCTGGGGCAACAGAGCTGCTGTGTGCATTTGTAAAAACTGAAATCTTTGCTCAAAAGAAGCATGTAAATTGTGTAAGTCTAAAAGGATAGTAATGAAAAACTGATTTAGGAGAGTTGATCCAATTTTTGACTTGACACTAATTGTGAGAACTTTTAAGAAAGGAAGAACAAAAACAGCTTTATTATAATTTCTTCCAGTGAAGCCTTGATACAAAGAGACTTCATTGCAGAATCTGTCATAACACAGAAGAAGATAGTAGTAGGTTTTTGAATAGTCAAAGAATTGCAAGGAAAAACAGTTAGCCAAAAAAAGGATTAATTTATGTTTTTGTAATGTAAAATGGTGATTAAGTTGAAACTTTGCAAAATGTATTTGTAGATATTTATGGTCATATAGCTTAAGTAGCATTTACCTAATAATTTCAAATCATGCCTATTCATAGTCAGTTACTCTTGAATAGCATTCATTACTGATTTTGTAGTCTCAGATTTCTCTGTTATGTAGATTTATTAAATAATTCAGTAATTTTTTGATGGTAGTGTTTAGCTAATTTTGTGGAATATTTTTATTTTATTTTATTTTAAGATATTTTATGTTATGGTTTTATTTTTATATTTTTAATTTATTTTTATGCTTGTAAATGTATTTCCTTACAGTAGTGGAGAAATAAAGTTGTTTATTTTGCAAATATTCATATGAAATACTTGTTACTTCCCTTATAACTTCTGCCTCCTTTAGTTATGAATCCGTTATCCTTTCAGTAGATAACATCTAGTGATGTGTAGTGAGATTTGTTGAGCTGTGCCGGGGGGATCTGGGAAGTTAAAATTATATATATTCTCTTTTCAAAAATACCATCATTTACTTTACAGCTTCAAGTTTCCTTTGCATTACAAGGAATGTTGGTTTGGGTTTCACGCTGCTGTTGCTTTTCAGAGTAAAAACATGCAAATTATGACATATATCTCCTTATCATAAGGGCAAATAAAAGAAGATGATAGGGAAAGAAAGTTAAAAGGCACATTTTACTAGTTGCAAATATTTTGTCTGTTAACCAATAGCAAGACCTTGAACCCTGTCCTAAATAATGACTTACCCTGCAGGATGGCTTTGTCGTCCGTACTGTGCATGCAGTGTCTGGTGCCGTCTCTTGGGGCAGTGAGCTGCCTCTGAAGTTGGCGCGCAAGTGTGTTGATGCATTTGGCAGCGCGTCTTTTGACGAGGAGGCTTCAGCTCATGCCCTCCACACTGGCTGCGATGAGGAAGTGGCGTGGGTTGGAGCAGGGAAAGACTTCGGTCTCATCCGTACTGCCACTGGCAAGGTGTGTTGCGGGCAAATGCAAATGCTTTGACCTTCACATACGCTTCTAAACTTTGGTGATGGGACATTTTGCTTTACATTTATTGGCATTAATTTTTTTATAAGAGTTTGTATGATAACTGGTGTAAGTTTGTTTATTGTGAATGGTAGGTCTTTCAAAAATTGAAATTTGCTTTAATCGCAGATCATTTGTCTCCAAGATTAATTCATCAATTCAAAAACAGCATTACAAAATGGTCATCAGGGGGTTTGAATAACACATTCTCCATTACTATAGATAATATAAATTATCTCTTCCACAAACACAATTATTGTTTTATATTTTGTTGCAAGGGAAAACATTTTTGCCTAAATTATCATTACATGACAAGAGCTGTACTTTACATTCAGATTTCAGCAAAAAACAGTTATTACAGTTGTTAGTTATTCAACAAAATACAGTTATTTGTTTTTCTCATGAATGGGCTTTTAAAAGATTTGAAATTACATGCATCTTTAATGAATTTTAGTTATTGTGAAATTCAATTGTAATCAGGAAATTAACAAAATACCATAAGAAGTGTAGAGAGAAGTAGAGAATAGAAGATTAAGTGTAAATTTGGAATATATTGCCTTCCTCTGTTGTATTAAATGCTCCCCTGCTTCCATTGGATTGCATTTAGATTGCTAGGTATAACCAAGGCACATTAAGTTCTAAATGACACAAATCAAATTCATAAGTTAAGTAGTTTGATGTTTATTGTGAAGCACAGGAAAAAGTGAAAAGGAAAATGAAAATCTAATTTCCCTTAAAATTATCCAAAATAAATAATTATTTGAGAATAACCTGTAATTTCTGCATAAAGATTTCCATTTCATATCAAGTTTTGAAAAAAAAAAAAAATATATGTTTGATTAGAGGTGAAAGGTTCAATACAGAAGATAAAATAGGAATGAATATTTTCGATAAAGTCATCTAAATTATGAACTATAAATGTCTCAGTGAATCACAAAAGTTCATTGTAACCAAGCCAGAATATAGATTATTTGACTAAAAATTCAGGCAGTGCTCACTAAAAGTCTTTTATGCTGAGGTTCTTCAGTTTCTACAATGTTATTATGTGTAATTTTGTATTAAGCATTTATCTACTTTTGTGAAAGAAAGACCACCATTGTCAGTAACATTTTTGATATGTAGAATTAAAAAGAGACTACATTCTTTTAAGCTGCATTTGTAATATAATGTAATGTACTATGATTTGCATCAGTTCAGGATTTTACATGAATTATTTTTATTAGTCATAAAGGTGAAGGTTATTTATTATTCTATAAAGCTTATTTATTGAAAATGTCATGCCTGCTTTTGAATATATACCTGTTATTTATACATATTATTATTTTGTATTAAAACATTGTGAGATTTTGTTGGTACTTATTAAACAGATACTCTACTGTGGCAAGTCAGCGAGTTTAGGCATTAAACAAGGGGGATTACGTGCTGGCCGTTGGGCTGAACTACCTGTCACAAAATCACCGAAAGTGACCCATGTTGCGGTGGGACATGAAGGAATGCATGCCATTTTGCTAGCAGATGATGGCTCCATACTATTTTGTGGTACTGCTCGACGTGGAGAAGATGGAGATCAAAGTAAGCATTCCATTGGTTTTGTTTTTAAGTGACAGTTTGAGTCATAAAACAAAAGCGTTGAGCAATTTCTGCTACTTACTAAAATTGGAAACAACCTGGGTTTCTACTTACATGTCACCCACACTCTTACAATGTTCATTTAGTTGGAGATTAACTTGAGGAATGAAATCAGCTTTTGTAATGTAACAATATGCATTCTATGGGTAAGCACAAAATGTACCAGAATAGATAAATATTTGATTATTTAGGTATCTAAAAGTGAAGTTATGAAATGTTCTTGAAGAAAATAATTATGAATTTTGTGCTGCTCATAACCTTTTTGATATATTGCTCTCAAGGTTTTGCTAATTATATTTTGAATACCAAATGATGTATCAGAGTGCAGCAAATATTGGTGTAATGAGATTACAATAAACCCTATTTAAATTTGTATTGTACTTTGTATTTATCTAGACATTCAGTTTTGCCTTCCCATAGGAGCCTGGAATGTCTATAATTAATTGCTAAAGTGGAATATCATTGTTGATATTTTTCCATTATTTTCTCTCAGATAAAGCTCGTCGTCAGCCTAAACCAGTTAAACCAAAGAAGATGTTGAAGGTGGAAGGACAGCACATAGTGCATGCAGCATGCAACAATGGAACTACAGCAGTAGTAACACGTGATGGAGAATTACTGATGTTTGGTAAAGACACAGCTCATTGTGATGCAGCCACTGGCCTGGTATCTGATCTGAAAGATGTGCATATAGCCCAGGTTGCTCTAGGCAAAGCGCATGCTGTTGTCCTCACCAACAAAGGCCATGTGTACACATTTGGAATAAATAACAAAGGACAGTGTGGAAGAGATTTTGCTGCTCAAGTGAAAGAAGGTAAATGAGAATAATCAACTTCATGTGGAAATTTAATGTTTCTTAGAATATGTGGTCCCTTCAATTTTAATGGCAGTACCACAAGTATACATCGAAAATAAGATATAACACATTTGTTCATTCCCACAATGGCAGTTTCTGTTTTATTTAGTATTCAACCTTAGCTTTGGGGGTATTTAATTTTATTTTCATTAATTAGGTGTTTTATTTTCCTTGATATTGTTTGAATGTGTGAAAGTAATGTTGGTGAATTGTTATAATTTAGAGTCTTCACATCCCAAAATTAAAGAAATTTGAATTTTTTAATCAATAATAGGTCACTTTTGTTTGCTGGCTCTTAACACATTGTAGATGAGAATTCTCATCATCTCATACCTAAACAGGGAGAACTGCGGAGAATGCACAAATGTACATAATTAGTTTTTGCTTATTCATCTGGGGACACAATTATAATGGAGCATCTGGAGAAGAAGCGATAGTCACATTATTTTCCACATAGCATCTTCCCAGTCTTCTGAGGGGTGTGGGATGATAAGAATTCTCGTCATCTCATCCCTAAACGGAGAACTGTGGATGAGAATTCTCATCATAGTCACTCACTTTCGAGGCATCTGTTATTGTTTTGAAAAAATATATCTCTTTTCTGAGTGATACTAGGTCTTTTGGAATCCTTCACTTCTTTCTGAATTCACTGTCAGTAAAATTTGAAGATTTTTTTTGGTTTTGAAACGGCAAGTATCGTTGATTGCAATTCTGCAAGAAAATGCCTTGAAATTGTGGATGTATAGCTTCCAGAGGTTCTGTCTCGCAATGTGTTAAGTTTTATTGTCGTTTTAACACTGTTCCTCTCTGAGAATTTGCAGTATGTTTGGCATGCTTTTAATTTTGAAATGTTGGGGAGAAGAGTTGGAAGAAACCTTCCAAGGACTCAGAGTTGTACTATGTCCCAGCTCCTGTCGTGGTCGCCATGGAAACTGCTGGAGAGGAAGACGCAGAGGATGAAGAGCTGGATTGGGAGGAGGCCCATGAGGGAATGTGTCCCCCGAACAAGCACAAGTGGAAGCACGACCTGTGCATGGTGTGCACAGTGTGTCGGGAGTGCACTGGCTATTCCATCTCTTGTTTGAGCAGCATAAGACCTGACAGAAATCCAGGCCAGTGAGTATTAAAATGGCAATTCTGGAAACCTGATGGTGTGTACATGGCCAGTAATCATGGTTCTAATTGCATGTATTCTTAAAAAAATGCTGACCATTGGAATGGTTCTAATTGTGTAAATTCTTCAGTAAAAGCTCAGGATTAATCAAACAACATAAAAAACCAAGACTTAAGTATAAAATTGATGTATATAAAACAAATTTGTACCATAACAATGTAACTTAACCAAACTAAAGCCAAACTCTTAAATTATATCTGCTTGTATGTTGTTGGCACACTGCTGTTCTTGTATTGCTGTTGGCACACTGCTATTTGTAACATGTTTTTTTAGCTTTTAAGTTATCTTGGAGTTTGGGAACTTTCTTTACTTTTTACATCTGAAATATAATAACAGTGGGAGAATGCACGAATGTACATAATTCGTTTTTGCATATTACACTAGGGACACCATTATTACGGAGCACCTGGAGAAGTGGTGATAGTAACAATATTGTCCACACAGCACATACTCATTCTTCTGAGGGGTCTTGGAATTTTTTCTTTGTCCAAAGTCATTGGTGGTGTGATTGATTACTAGTAATTCCAGGCATGTCAACTGCTAAGGTTATTAGTCTTGTAAGTGTAGTGCATGTTTTTTTGCTCTGGAGGTGCCAATAATCTTCTACCACTGGATAGTGAGATCTGGCCCTGGCCTACCATTGGCTACCGGGATTTTCCCCTACCAGGCATTCCCCTCCAGCGGCACCGCCCTAGCCCAGCCAAGCTGTTAGCTCTGAACCGGTTTCCCAGTATGTGTAGTATTGTAGTGCAAATGTAAGGGATGAGGATGGGGCAAGGAAAGGATAGTGTCTGGGTCGTGGCCCATTTGTTTAGGTACTGCTGTGCCATTCCCTGGTATTGGTAGGAGAAACCACCTATCGGAGCAACTGGCCACTAGAATTTTCTCCTGATGACAGAACTCATCCAGCTTCTAGCTAGTGTCGAAAACCCTGTCATTGTTGGGACTCGAACCTAGGACCTCTCGGCCAGAGGCATTTCAGTGATATCAGTGAGCCACCTCTCATGGTGTTCTTGGTGGATATAGTATACACACTGAAATAACAAATATTATCACAGGATCATGTTACTATACATAATGTTTTTTATATAGTGTTGAGAATATTAGTGGTGAACAATAATTTATTATCTTGTGGTTGGTGTAGATGCTTGTATTACTTTGATTTGCATTTCAAGGCTATAAAATTATGAAATTCTCATGTTCTTAGGGAATGTGGCTGTGGGGAAGGAGATTCAGGCTGTGCCGAATGTGGTTGTTGTCGTATTTGTGCACGAGAGAGCGTTGACAACTCTGAATTGGCACTTCTTGGTCCAAGTGGGGCAGGTGATCTGGCTGGAATGATGCGGGACTATATTTTCGGCGGTGAGTGTCTTTTGTGCATGGCATTTATATCATGGTTAAAATTATATATGATGACAAGTATATACATTTTGCATTTACTCTACAATTTTATTGATATGAAATCTTTTACAATTTGTTATTTGTATTTATAGTCACATGACCCAATGCGAATATGTATATTATTTCGTAATAAATAAAACAATGATACTAGTACCACATATTACATTAAATATCAATACAAATGTCAAGTTATCAATAATCAAGGCATCACCGTGTTTGGTTGAGCATTTATTGGGATACGCAGACGTAGGTGTGGCAGGGAGACACGGCAGCAGGCTGCAGGACCATTTGCAACGGCGCCTGGATGACCGGAAATTGCGTGTTCGTGGCCGGGCAGCCCAGGCTGCTCTCCAGGCCCCACCTGGAAGCAAGCACTGTGGCGGCAGTGGTCTTAAGCTGAAGGGAGCCAGCGCACGGGCTGGACCATCTGGGGCTGCGTTGGCTGGAGCTGTACCTGCAGGCGCTGCTTTCAGACCCTCACTTCTGCCACCTGCTGCTGTTAGCATTGTGTGTAAGTGCATAATTATTTATTCGTAAAGAATGTACCTCACTTGTTTTCATTAACTGGATACAATAAATTAATTCAGTTTGATTCAAGTTAATGTTTTGTTAGAACAATTGTTTGTGCATTTTTTATCTGAATCATTTGGATTTTGTACTCCATTGATTGTGTCCCATTTATTTTTTTCTTCATTGTTTATTTATATCTTTCCTAGCAGTTTTTGTGTTTTAGTTCAGCATACTACAAGTATACATATTCATACTACACACACTTCACATAGCATCTTGTTAGATTTTCAAATCAAGTATTACTGTAGTCTCAATTATTCATGAATACATACTTAGAATAAATTTGATAATTAATGAGAGCAGGAATATAAAAGAGAAAACGGCAAAAAATACATGAATAATTTTCACGTTCAACTTTCAGATTATGAAATGTTCGTAGCATTTGACTCTTCAATTGGTAAAATGTTATTATATTTCAAACAGTTCTGTATTTAGTATATTAACTTGCATGATTGTTTCAGTTACAAATTGGATCCAAACTATCAATTAAGTAATAATGAAGTAATGTATGTTGTTTCCACTCTTTATTTACATCAACTTGATGTCAGAGTGTAATTCTCATTCACTTGGATTATATTAATGAAATTTATTCTCTTTGTACAGTGGAGGAGCAGGCAGGAGGAAGCGATGTAGAACGGGATGCCAGCCGCGTGACCGCTTTGCCCCCAGCAAGGGTGCCTTTACCCACCGAAGGAGTGGTGCTGCAGGTGGCATGTGGTCTGCACCACTCGGTTCTGCTTCTCCAAAGTGGCGATGTGCTGGCCTTTGGAAGCAACACGTATGGTCAGCTGGGCCAGGGAGACCTTTTGCCGCGAGGTGGGCCATCACATGTCAGACTCCCACCAGCCGCTGTGCAAGTAGCTGCTGGTAGCAATCACACAGCTGTCCTCACAGCCAAGGGAGAAGTGTACACATTTGGAAGTTTTCAGGTTTGACTTATTTCTGTTTATTTCATCTTTCTTCAATTCTTGAAATTAATTTCAATGTTATTGTTTAATTGTTGGTAAAATTGGCACATTCATCTGTGAATACATAGTAAATGGATAAATATAATTTATAGAAGCTATTAGTTTTGTTTAAAAATAATTATTTGCTAAATAATGGTCAATATCAAATATTATTTATTTGCTTTCTAAAATTCTACTAAATAGTTCCCATTTGCGTTGATAATTCGACACTTGAAGAAATTATGTAACTTGAGAAAGCAGACTTCCTTCTGCTGCTGCGATTTGTATGTTAGAGGGCCAGTACCTCTAATTATTGTTATTCTTCCTTGAGTTTTAGAACTAATGGAATGTATGTTGTTTTGCACATTATGTACCATGCGAATCATTCTCATGATGATCTGTGTTTGCAGAAAGGTCAGTTGGGTCGTCCATCCCCAATGGCAGGTGCAGACCCATCAACAGCAGCTGGAGCATCTAGTGGCGGTAGTGGGAGTGGAGGGAGTGGTCGTAAGGAGGGGCGTAGTGGGAGTGGTATTCGTGATGGACCATGGTACTCCCTACCAGGGCCGGTGCCAAGTGTGGGACCACGTCATGGTCGTCGTGCCACATGGGTGGGTGCATCAGGTGACCAAACCTTTCTCAAAATCGACGAGAGTCTTATCAATGCACATACATTGGCACGTGCAACTGTGATGGCCAATAAAAGCAGCATTGGTGAGTATACACATGTTTTATGGCTTTTTTTTCATTTCTTCATTAATAATAGTATTGAATGTCTAGTAATTCAGTTTCTCATTTTCAATTTTTGACTATGTATTTTTAACTTTTGGTTTCCCTTTCTCATCTCTAAATATAAATTAAAGTAGTGGTTTTGCTGATTCACCCCAGAGTACTACTCAAATTATGTTGTATAACCCCTTTGCTGCTATCAATGCCTATAGGTGTCTGGATTTTTTATGCCCTGTGTACTAACGCCTCCTTTAGGCATCCACCCGGAGTCACTTCTGCTATGCTAATGCTGCCTTGAGGCATCTTGTACTTCGCCCGGCTGTAGTTTGCTCTCTTCTGAAAGGCTGAGGCCTGAACGATGGGGGGTGATATCTGTTTGTTTTGTAAGGGTTTGAAGTTTAGTTTGATCTCTCCTAGAGAGTGCGGAAGTACAAATTCATCTGACTGCGGGTTGAAATGTTTGTAAACTGATAGACTGTCATGTGACGGACCTCAACACCTGTGTGAGGTTGGCTTGCAGCTGCAAAGAGATCCTTTCCTAATGACCATAATAAAACATTCTCTAGGGCTTTTGGGTATAAAATACCACCTTAATTTATGTTACTATTTCTTGCTGATATGGTTGTTTTGGTTTATAGGTATAACTGTACAAATATCAGCTTCTTTTTTGGGCAAAACACAAAAGATGAAGGAAATTCAATTTTAGATTTCTTGTTTTCTCACAGTGTCATTAATATAATGTGTCTTTTGATGAAATATTATGTTTTGTTGTAGTATGTTTACTCATGCCAAGAATAAAAAAAAATCTCACTAAGCAAACATTCAACACCTATTTTTGGGGTGATGTCTTCGGATAGGTTTTTGTTTACACTGAAAATGCGTCATTTCAGTGACAATAATGGAGAACATGGCAGAAATTGCCTTCAGAAAATAAGTAATGTAAATGCTATTGGCCTTAGCTTTGCAAGCCTATTTTCCCTGTTCGGAATATTGTTGTGTTAAAGAAGGTCTAATTTTGTTCAAGAGGCGGCTGGTTTTCAATCAGTATATCCATCCAAAATGAAGCAGGTTTGGAATTAAACTCTAAGTTCTCTCGGATTGTGAAAGGATAAAGATCCTCGATTTTATTGTTTGCTGTGAGTTACCATTCTATTGTGAGGAATGTAATATGCGTTTGAATGTTATGCCATTGTTTTGAAGTGTGACACTAAAATGAATTTCTAAATTCCTGATAATATTCTAAAGTTCAAAAAATGTTTGAGGTCCTCGTGTTACACTGTGTTTTATAATGTATTTCATGAAGAAAAAAAAAGTAATTTATTTCAAAATAAAAAATATTTTAAAATGTAAACAAATCATTTTTTTTTTAAACACAAAAATATATGTGTTGAACTTTGCCAGTATCAGCCCAAAATCCATACAAAAAAGAAGTATGGGAAATATGAGCATTTAATGTGTGGCGCCATGGACACCGCGCCTTTCAGAACTAGGAAAATGTGCCTCAAACAGAGGTCGCTGGCCACTGTGGGGCGTCAGCACAGGGTGGCAACACACTGGCTGTGACTTGAAGCAGCAAAAAAGTTAATATACATAGGCGTAACTATGTATTTCATGGGTCCCTACCCCAGTGTAGGAAGTCCAAATGAGAGCTGTCATTGTCATTGCCATCTTTATCGGGGGTCCGCAGGTGTCTCTTTATTTGGGGGCCCTTTACTTCGAGGACCTCAATGCCGCACTCTGGTTGCACTAGCCTAGTGTCCCTCTTAATATATGATTGATCATTCTAAATTATTAGAAATATAATTTGAAATATTAATAATTTTTATGCTTTTTAAAGTGTTTGTTTATGATGCTTTTTCAGTATAATGTGTTACTGTATTCTGAATCATTTTGCATTCTCAAAATAAAATGTTACTGTGTGTCTGTAGTGGTGGTACCAGCGCACGGAGAACCAGGAGCTGCATTCCGTTGTTTGGCTATTAGCAAGAGAGACGGTAATTGTAGCAGCTTCGGAGGACCAGATCAGGCAGATTTGTCCAATACTGCGACATGCCTTGACCCTCTGTACAATGTTCTATGGAGGTAACTATTGGTTTATGTTTCATTCAATTATCTGGGTGCTGATGAAGTTAATATTAAATAGCTTCATCTACCTACTGGACAATTGTAATGATATTATTTTGATTAAATGAATGTGTAAAATTAAGTGTTAATTGCCTAGAAATTTTATTTTCTAGCAAGGTTCTGAATTTGAGTAAGAGACTTCAGGATTAAAAGTCCTCTTTTACTCTCTGTAAACAAAATAATTAAAATATTATATACTTTGAAATTTGTGCTTAAGAAATATCTTGTGTAAAATGGTGCTCAAAAATCTTCACACATATTCTAGCTATTTGGCATTCTAACTGAAATCACTTTATAATTATAGACTTGGATTGGGGTCCTACTTTAGGCTGCGACTGTGGATTTAAAGCAATGAAAACAGAAACGTCTTTTTTCCAGTTACCATCCATCCAGTCAGGAAGTAGCTTGCTATAATGTTGTGGCCTCAGAGGCACGGGCTGCTGCCTGCACACCACCTAGTATTCTGAGTGCAGAGCTCGCGTTGCCTGCTGCTTCACATTGCCATGTCACACGCGCGCAGGCTGCTTTGCACCTCCTGGGTTGTTTGGACACCCTGACACAGGCTCAGGAGCAACGCCTAGGTGTTCGTGAGGAGCGAGCCGAGAGGCCTGCTGGAGCTGGCAAGGTGTACAGCCGTGAAGACTTTGCCACTGTCACTCGCTTCGAAAGTGAGTTGTGTTGGTAACACATAATATATAGTGGCTACTTAGTTTCAAACTAGAGATGGTTCAAGAGCACATACTTTCTCACATTATTGAAAATGGTTATGTATTATTCCAATATTGTAATTTCTGCTATCCTAAAAACTCGGTTATAACTTGAAAAAGTCCAAAAAAGTCCTGGGCCAAGAATAGTAGTCATTTCTATTTTTTACAAATGAAACATATATGAATAAATGTAAGTATTATAGCATTTGCATCACATACAGAAAAGAAAGAATAACATTTCACATCAGCTTGCCTTGATTACATCGAAGTGATAAATTCGAGTTTATTACTTCAATATTTTTCCAATATTCAAAATAACAGAGAGTGAGATCCAAAAAGATACCAGATGCACCTCGCAAAACATACACATATTTTCGGAAAATTTAACTTTATTTGAAGATCTGCTTCTAACAAAAACATTTCATTAAGAAAAAAATGTGTCTTCATAATTGTAGTTGTAGGAAGAGGCTGAAAAGGTAAAAAATTTTTACAATTTTTGAAAAATTAGGGATTTTAATGCAAAGTTTGTAATTTACTCAAAATTTACAATAGCAAGGTACGTAACGAACTGAGTGCAGGCCCTTCTGCAAAACTTTCATTCGGGTCCCCTTTATAAAAGTGTATAACAACACAGTGTTAGTACCTTAAATAATAAAAGTATTATCCTTTAACAGATTCAAATTCATCAGTTTATTTTTAATATCCAACAGTAGAAATATTTGCCTTTATTTCTTAATTTTATCATATTAAGACTTATAAAACCCAAATGAATTGTTTACCTTTATCGATTTAGTAACAGGGTTACATAAGATACCAAAGCGGGGAAAAATCGTTCTGTAAGATGCTGTTTTTAATTCTCTCTTGTTTGAACTATCAAAAAGTATCAGAGAAAGTATCAAGTAATTAACATTTCTTCGCAAAACCTTCAGCCTAAAAGTAGGCCTTTCTTTTACGTAGGCCCACCTGCATTGTGGGCCTGAATGTTACACCACTGATAAAGGTACAAACGACTTAAAACAATGAAACAGAGCATGCAATTTCTTAAAATTAGCAAATGACAAAAATAAAAATACAATATCAAGATGACAGGATGAGTGATAAAAGAATGTTCCTAAGAAATGCTTTCTCAATTAGTTATCATTACTTTTTACATTTCAAGAATTACAATTGCTCAGAAAAATCAGGTAATATATACATTCTCCTGTAACTAAATGTTGAAAGTGAAATACAAATGACTTGAATTCTGTAGAGCCCAAATTATGTTAATGATCTCTCCCAATTAGCTCTTTTTTGTGTTTGCCAATTCTTGATTTTTACTAAGTTTTGATACCTTGGCAATGGGAAATTCTCACTTTCAAACTTGTACATTTTTCAGTAAATAAATTTCATATTCTTCTAAATGTTGTTTACCATGATGTTTCCTTAGGTCATGGAGGAGGTTGGGGCTACTCGGGCCATTCCATTGAAGCAATCCGCTTCATGGCAGATACAGATGTTTTGCTGGGAGGGTTTGGACTCTTTGGAGGTCGTGGAGAGTACACTGGCAAAATCAAGTTGTTTGATGTTGGACCTGATGGAGGAGAGCAAGAAGCTGATGGTGAAGTCTTGGCCGAGACAGATGAGATACCTTATGATTGTGGACCACGCCAGAAATTCCCAATGCTTTTTGAAGAGCCTGTACCTCTGCAGGCAAACCGTTGGTATGTGGCTTGGGCACGTGTATCAGGTCCTAGTAGTGACTGTGGTTCAAGTGGACAAGGCATGGTTACCACGGAAGATCAGTGAGTAAAATCATTCTTACTGTTATGGCTTACAAAATTTTTTTGTACTTAAGCTTTCTTGAATTATTTTATTTTGTCTTGACAACTTAAAGTGGGTGATTTGAATGCTTAAAAAGATTTTTTATATTTTTCAACATTACATTTAAATGCTTATTTCTCATTCAACCATTTAATTTTTTTTATAAACTGTTTTAATTCACAATATGAAGCACTCTAAAAGTTTAATATTATTACACATAACTTGCATTCAGAAACAGACATATTTTTAACAACGAAAAATGCTGCAACTTCTAGCTTCCTTACTGTAATGCTTTTTCAATTTATTAATCTATTATGAAAATAATTTGTCAATAAAAAAAAGAAAACTAAAAACTTGTAGTGCTACAACGTAGTGCAGTCCATGTTGGATTATTTGGAATGGTTACCTAAAATTACAGTAATTATTTTACAGTGTGTACACAATGACTATTTCAACAATCTCATACAAAATTTTCTTCATTGCTTGTAACTCAACATGTGTTCACTTCTTCACAGCTTCTAAGACCACTTCATCAGGAAGTTGGTCCTTTTTTGCTGAATAAATAGACAATTTACAAAGGCTGAAACTGCTGATTGGAAAATTATTTATCAGAATATATTCTTGTGATAATAATACTAAAAAGCCTTTTCAGCTTAAAATATCTATACTTTCTCATCCACAATAGAAATTTACCTTAAAATTCACATGCTATGCACAAAATATTTAAATTAATAGAAGTAATATTGATATTTTAAATTTGTGTTTTGTCAAAAAACCCCTGAACGGTTTAGTGGTACTATTAATTTTTTGTACCTATGACAATTTAATCTCAAGAGAATTCCAGAAAAGCAAAAACTATTTTCATGTAAATATTTTTTAAAAACAAATTGCCGTTTTAGAGAATGTGCTGTTTGAAGATTTTTAATATACCATATTGAGCTCACCTGTACTAGAAAATCTTCGCTTTGCAGCTTTATGTAACTCTCTTTAAAAGACTTGTACAAGAATGTTAAAAACAAAATGCAGAGTATTTCTTAGCTAATAATTTTTCTTAATGAACTTTTTTTGTTTCCTGAGGCCCTTCATTGTTTTAAATTCATATTTAAACTGTGGTAAGCTTTGTACTTTTACGTTACAAATGCAGAAGACTGGATTTCTGAAGTCACCCAGTCATTTTTTTCTCAGATATTGCATTCTGGGAACTCTTTTTTTTTCTATTATCCCCCGAAACTTGCTCAAATTCGGTTATTATTTTCTTTGAAATCTATAAAATCCTTATTATTCACTAGTGTCAGAGTTTGAATAACCTGAGACCACTGTACATATGTAGGAATCAGCAGTAGTTTACGAAGGGGTTATTACAGTATAAAAGCCACACATGGGAGGTTGTTATGATGTGAGAAATATTTCCCATTAATATATGGATGAGAAATTGGAATGTCTTTTCTCCAAGGTTAAAAAAATACTATTGGAATTGGCAACAATTAATTTTTTTATTTTTTAAGAATGTTGTATGTTGAATTGAAAATTAAAATATGTTGTTGTTTGTTTTTCTTCTAGAGTTGTTTTCTATTTCAAATCATCCAAAAAATCAAACAATGGCACTGACGTGAATGCAGGACAAATACCTCAACTGCTTTATCGAGTTGTCACTCCAGAGAATCAAGCCCCTAGCAGGCAGACTGATCAGAGTGAACCTGTGTACATCTTGAGCAGAGACTTCTCTCGTTGTGTCTCCAAAGAATGTTTCTCAGCCTTGCTTGCACTTCTGCAGTGGTCATGGAACACTTTCAAAGCAGGTCTTCTAGACTTGTCACAACTGAGTTCGTGGAGTGCTGGACACCTTGCTGCACTCCTGGATCTTGAAAGGCTGGTTTATGTGAGCAGGGCTAGTTTACGCCTCTTGCGAGCGTACACCTGTGAGGTCTACCCTAGTCAAGGTAAGATAAATTTCCTTTCAGTTAATGAGAGATTATGAACATTTCATTTCAGTTAAGGAGAAAATAATCAACAAAAAATATTGTTATATATGTCTCCATTGTTTGTTTGTATTGTTGTGTAGTTTATTATTATTATTATTATTATTATTATTATTATTATTATTATTATTATTATTATTATTATTAATTTTATACTGAAGTTTAAAAATATCAGAAGGTGGCAGTTTCCTTGAGCTTTGATTAATGCCCTACTGTTTGGAGTGACATGGGTTGAAAGTGTGCAATCTCAGATCATACTTGATTGCAGATTTGTTGCAAGTGCAGTCAATTTTCTGTTACAGTTGGTTGCCGACGTCCTCCACCAGAGTCTGTTCGTTTAGCAGAAAGTATTGGTGACATCCGCGCTTTGCTGAGACAGCTGTTGGCTGACCCTCTTCCTGCAGCTGCTGCTGCTCGCAAAACTGGCAAAATTCGTACACAAAAGAGTGAGTGCTGTTCAAAAAACAATATTAAATTGTACTCTTCAATTAAGGATCATCGAATGCCTCCCTGGAAAGTTGTATCTGTTATGTATGATAACTATAGTGCTATAGTATTTTCAATACTTCCATAACATGTGTGAGTGAATGTTGTAAAATGTTTGAATGCTGTATGTTAGTGATCATGATAAAACTGAACTTCATAGAAGGAACTTTGTAGTGTGGGCAAAGTTCATTCTACTGAAGGAAAGATTGAAGCAGGCCATTGTTGATGAACCAACATACTCTTCATTGTTGTCAAAGATTATTGCTATCACTTATGTTAATCTAACGAGTTTTTAAGTGAAAAGAAAAATGATTAAGTAGTTATAGTGTTGAGTAAAATGTTTGTTGCAAGAATATTCTAATTGAAATTGAGAATACTTCAAATAAAATGTTCATTCTAATAGCTTTAACCATCATTGCAGGTTCTACACCATATGCTAAGATGACTGCTGGTATTCTGGAAGAGTGTCATCAAACATTTGTTGCTTGCTTCCATGCATTCTATCCTACTGCATACCTTAAGTGGAGCTGCTTGTGTGAACTACTTGCTTCTATGGACAAGGTACAATCACTTCTTGTACATTTGGTATGGGGAAAATTTTGCATCCGGTTTGAATGTCCCAGTTTTAATTTTGACCATGTCACTTTTAATGTAGTATTTGAAAAGAAAATATTCATGACTTGAAAGATAAATGTAAAGCCCAAGTACACTACAATATTTTATTTAAATTCTTACTCTTTAATGGAAAATCTCATGTAATGGTCGGGCAATTTGCATAATGTTTTGGAACTATTAAATAAACTTCTTAAGTTGGTATCAATAATGCTAGCAAATTTGAATTGGGTTTTCTGTTCTTGTAAGGATTTGCCTCTAATTTGATGTGAGAACTAAAGATTATTATTTTGTAGTCAGTAATTCATAACATTAGCATTCCCGTATGAGAATTCTGTTATGTAGAACCTCATCCTCCATCAGCACATCTCTGAATTCAAGATACTGAACGTTTACCATGGAGTAGGGGTACATAGAAGTGTCGAATCCTGAAAAATATAGAAGCAAAAATCACATTGTGTAGATTATGCTGCAAGGAATGTGATGTTAGATGGGCCCATGGATACACTGCTTTCAAGTTATTGGATCATTGATGACCTGAAACAAACCATTAACTGGGACATGTATTGCAAGATTGCATTTGCATCTGCCTAATTTAGACTCTCTATTTGATTAATAATACCATATCTATCCGAATACTTGCCAACTCTGATTATAAGATGACCCCCTAATTTTAAAGAGGCCTCCAGGTTTTTTGTCTTAATTTTTGACTAATTTTTGTTATTATTTTTGACTAATTTTATTATTTAGTGAAAATAAAATGTCAAATTGTCTTGTTGATGAAAATGTTAAAATGGTCTTACGAATTGCTTGAGATGTCACTATTTTCCTGTTCCGTAAAATCATCAACAAGTTTTTTGGCACTACCATCCTTTATCTTCATGTATATCATTGTTATTTATTCTTCTCTCCCCATACTGCATCATCCTCTGATGTTGTATGCTTTGAATTCGTGTTAGCCTTTCATCTGATGCTATCTAAGAACGTTCCTTTGTGTGACACCAGATTATCTTCCAGTCACACACTTATTCATGGCCTCTGATTCTTCAACAGTTCTTTTAAATTCTTTATCAGAGAGTAATTGAAATTTACTTTGTTTAATTTTCATATAATTGAGGTGTAAACTCTGAATTCATAAATCTCTGTTTTTGCAAGTAACAAAGTAGAGTGGCAAACTTCCAAGTTTGAGAAATTTTAACTAAGAAAATAAATTTTTATAATTCTGTCTTTATGTTTGAATATAGAATGCATACTTCTATCAACAATATGTCTAGGAGTATTATTGGGTATTGTTGATACATGTGATATTTAATGCCTTTGCAGCTTATTGTTTATTCAACATTCAAATTCCTTCTTGGCATAAAAAGACAGTAAAAATCAAATTACAAGTAACTAGGCTTAAGCTCAGATGCTGTATTTTTCAATTGAGATGTTCAGGAAAAGACCTCATCTTATATTTAGTAAATTTAGTTATATTTATAAAGTGAAAGTGCAATTTGTAACCTCTCTGTGCAATTTTCTCTTTGGCATACCACTAGTTTAGTTTTTTATGAAAGCTGCAAGATGTATGTGTACCACAGAAATAATACAGGTGATTGTGTATCAGCAGGTGTTTTGTATCTGCAGGTGTTTTGTATCTTAAGTGATTTCATGTGCTTTTGTTAAACCATTGCAGGAAGGTAGTGGCCCTGCTACATCTGCTCCTGAGGCTCGCAGTTTGGATCGCTTGCTGAGTGCTGTTCTGGCAGCACTTTGCAGCCCATCAGTTCGCCTGCGTTCTACTTTCCCAGTGCTTGGTAGCGGGATAGAAGTGACTGATCCACGGCGACAACCAAGTCCCTCTGACAATGCTGGTCTGGCCATGTTGGCTGGGACTGACTCACATCACTATCCTGTGCTTGCTGAGCAAATGAGCCATCGTAGTCAGGTACATTTTTTTTTGCTGTACCCGGATGTTGGAAATTTCCTCTGTGTAATGTGAGCCCCCCTACATTGAAGGATTTTTTAACCTACATTTTTGTGGTGAAATTATAATTTTTTCTCCTCTGTAGGTGGAGGGTGCCCCAGCACCAGCATGGCCCTTTCGTGAAGTTCTGGAGCGTCTACTGGGTTTGGCAGCACTTCCTGTGCGTCAGGCTCTGTGCCATGAACGACCTACTTTGTCACCAGAATTAGTAAGGCATTGCTGCCATCTCTTGGCTCGTGTCATTGCTGAATTGGCATCACAATCTAGTGGCACTGATGTTAGTACAAATCTATTTTATTTTGTTTGAATTATGTTTACTTTTTCTATTATCAAAGAAATTTTTAGTGGAAAGTGAAGAATTTATTAATAGTAATCATGCCAGTTTTCAATACTTCTAACAACAAAATTAAGTAGATGTATATTTTTTTTAACTTTTCAGGAAGATCTTCAAGGAGCCTGTGGTCGTGTTTTACATACTACTCCATCTCGTTTTACCCGAACTAACCAAAGTCGTACCTGGAACACTGGCAGTGGTGCTCCTGATGCCATTTGCTTTACAGTAGACCGCCCTGGCGTGGTGATTGCAGGTGTCTGTGTTTATGGAGGAGCTGGAACTTATGAATATGAACTTGAGCTTTTGGATGATGTAAGTAAAATATGGCAATGCCTGGCTGTCTTTTGCTTTCAAGTAAACTTTGAAATCTGACTAGACTGGAGGTGTTCTTGTGAAACAAAGGAGAAAATCAAACTATGCACTAATTTATTTTGCTGTTTTGGGGAGTACTCATGATAAAATTCTAAATGTTGTTTTAAATGAAAAGTTATCTTGAATATGGGTGCATAAAAATATACTATAAAACCCTATGTCATAATAATAATAGATCATAATGTCAAGTTGCAAGAAAATAATCCTACAGTCTATATGGTTCACTTCACAGAAAAGTCCTCATTGCATTGTTGCAAAGATTTTTCCTTGGTGATACGTGTGAGATGATTTGTGCTGGATATGTTTGCAGCAGAGCAGTGCTGCTGCAGCAGCTGCTGTGGGAGCAGCAGGGGCAGACCCATCCCATGCTCAGCGCTGGAACAGTCTGGAATTGGCCAGGGGGACTTTTGGCCCAGATGATTGCGTCGCTGATGTCGCTGAGATCCGCTTCGAAAGACCTGTTCCCATCCGAGAAGGCGCGAAGTACGCTGTCCGACTTCGGAATCATGGTGGTCGTACGTCAAACGGAGATGGTGGCCTTAGCTCCGTCAAGGGCCCTGATGGAGCCACATTCACCTTTTCTACTTGCTCCCTGAGCTTCAATGGAACCACCCAAACTCGTGGGCAAATACCCCAAATCTTATATTACAGGTGAGCTGATGGCTGATAGCTAGAATTTGAAATGATAAAAATCAAGAAAATATTCTTATTACTACTTTTGTAAAATACTGAGTTCAATAATTTAAAGAATATGTTTGACATTTGTAGTTGGCTTGGAAAAGCATTTTGAAAATTCTCTTGCTTGTGAGTGATGAAATCACACAAGATGCTATTTTACAGAAATGCAATTTCAAATTAACACCTTATTTTATTATTATTGTCTTTTGTATTTTATTGTATTATTTTTCTAGTTTGTAGAATCATTGCAACTAATGCATAATTGCGTTGTTTTTCTGCCACTTAATGTTTGTTATTTTCCATCTACTATCTGCAAGGATAGTCTCATGAGCTTTGGCTGCATTTCTGGTTTTGTGGATTTTGATGTTCATCCACAATGTCATTATCATCGACTGAGGTTAATTTCCTTGAAGTGTTTGCACCTAAAAAAGGTTTTGCTCTGGCATGTACCATAGGTTTCCTGGAGCGTACAACACTTCTTGTTTTCTCGCATACTCCTTACAAAGTGTAGAGAAAATAATGTAATCCTATAGTGAAAAATTAGGACTTTTTATCATCAAAACGTGTATTGTGGGTTCCTGATACAGAAAAAAATGATAATTCTTGCTCCTATGATATGCAGTAAATAGTTTACTCGAATACGTTGTGCGGAAAAATTGGTTTACGCCAAAACGTCCCTTCATCTGACTCTCTACAAGCTACTGGATAAACTGTAGGCAGGACAAAATTAATGTTCTCATGTTCAATGATCGATCAAGTTATTGTCATGGCCCTTTGTATTTGAAATGGATATTTAATTTTTAAAAGTACTTAACGAGAGACTCTTACGGAATTCTGTTTAAAAAATAGCTCCCAATTTTTTCCACAAATGGGTCAAAGAACTGGTCTTGCAAAAAATTGCATAGGTACAATTTTCATTGCATTTTCTAAAATTTTGAAAATTGTAAAAGTGTCAGCATCTTCCTACCTTTAGAATATTATAAACAAAATTATTTTGTAATAAAATCTGTTGTTTCAAAAGTAGATCCTAATTAAGATTGTGTGCAATTTGTTCAAAATAAGGTTGGTTTTCACGTAATTTTGCGGTAAAATGAATTTTTTTAGGATAGATTTCCTCGAAAACAACTTCAAATTTTGTCTTTAATTTTTTCGCAGATAGTGCAAAATGTGCTTATGAAATGGTTTAGGTCTGATTTTTGTTAAAGTCTCTAAATTCCGGGAAATTGCAAAACAATGCAAGAAAATATGTGCTGTTGTAGCACCAGTAGTTTAAGTTGAAAAATGAAATTTGATGCAAATTCTTTGCCCTGTCAATCTTTCAAATCAAAATTGTTGAGTCACTAAGGCATAGCTTTATGAAGCTGCACAGGGCAAAACAATGTTCCACTTGGATGCACAGCCATTCACTGAGCATAAAGGTAGAATATTTTGGAATGACACCTGTGACAGGTTCATCCCCAGTGTCCAAATCAACAAAACATTTTGGTTGCATCTCGCATATCTCCAAAATTTTATAAACAGAAATGAAAACCCTATTTTTTTTGTTGAATGTGTGATTGTTCATGACAAAATGTCAATTATATGTTTCATGACTTTAATTAATTATTTCTTTGAAACAAGAAAAGTTTTCTCTCATGAGTATTTTCTGTTTATCATTATTTCCTTCATGGTTGATGGAATGTATTGGGGAAAGATTGAATGTGTTGGGGAAGAACAAAGGTTGTAAGAGATGGTCCTTCAGCAGCGAATTTTGCCTCTGCTTTCCATTGTTCCCAAGTTTTTTGTTTACAAATGGCCCTGTTTGCCTTTGCAGCAATCCACAAGATTCAGAGAGTCAGCAGAATAGTAGGGCCTGGGCAGAGCTGCAGGCGGCCCGGTGCACTCTGGCCCTGGCGACAGCTGTGGTCAGGCGCTGTGTGGAGTTGGCAGCCTTGGCTCGAGAGCGATCTGAGGATGCAGCGGCTGCAGAAGTGCTGGGCAATGCATGCCTCATTACAACACTGCTGCCCTTAATGTTGGCACACATATCACCTTTGGCTACACTTGACCCAAGGGTAAAAAACTGACTGATGCAGTTCTCTTTCTTGTAGCATTAATGATTAGAGTAGAGTTTATTTAATTTCTATAAAAGTTTTTATTAAAGTTCTTTATTTGAAATATCAGTCAATGGTTTGGAATCATATCCAATCTTGTTAGTGAAAATAATAGGTTTTTATATTACTGAAGTTATTTAGTGTTAGTTGAAAAGATGATATAAAATAGGTATTGAATGTGTAAAATTTTGTAGCATGAGTGCACTATAGTTTTATTCTTGTTTTCCACAGTTCCAGCTATTGTACAGTTCGGTATTTTTCTCTTACAGAGTGGTGTGCAAGTCCTGGGGTTAATCCATGAACTTCTGCCTCACGTGGCAGCTTTGAACCTTCTGTCTGGACCAGGCATGCAGCATTCCACTGGGTCCATAGACAGCGCAGGTGGAGTAGCACCTGCCACAGCTTCCACCACTTCGCATCACTATGCCTGGGTAGAGAGTGACCACCCATACAAACCTGCCACAGTAGCGAATTACAGAGTGGCATTTCCAGAATCTGTCAAGTGGCTATGCATCGAGTTTGACCCACGATGCGGTACTGCGCAAGCGGAAGACTCCCTGCAACTCTACATTCCTAGTCTGGGTGGTGCTGCATGTGCAGCAGTTGGACCAGCTGTGACACTAACATCTCCAACTGCCTCTGAAAACGATTCCGATTCTGGGCCTGCCCCATATTGGCCCATGTTGCACAAGTTCAGTCGTGGCCCTGCCAATTGGCCCCAGACTGCCATTGTATTGCCAGGTATGCAAATGTTTTAAATGTTTTTGTTTTAATTTTTATGTATTGTATTGTAGATCAGAAATTCTGTTCCTTTTCAATTATTTTTCAAGATATTTGTGATACCGTATAGTTTTTGGATTCTTCTGAGAATCTAAAATATGTATGAACATTGTTAATCAGTCAAGCATTGAAACACATTTTGTCACTTTTGTCTTAAAACGTTTCTCAAGTCGGAATGCGCTTCATGTGTATGATAACACCGATTTATCCTCTTTATTTCTTAAACAACCTAAGTGGGCACATTTGAGTCAAGTATTTTTGTTGTACTTTTTTGATGCTACTTCTTATTATTTTGGAATACTTGTAACTAGTGAGAAGAAATAAGATTTCTTGTACTGAAGCTTCATGTGATTTTTACTTTAGAATCTAATTTTTGTGATTCTTAAGTACAGATCTAGAGTGTTTAGGTTGAGGAGACTATAGCATCTCTAGTAAACCAAAGTTTGTAGTTGTATTGTACCATGATTACACAAAAGAAATTGGTTATTTTTGCAGGCAATGAAGTAATATTTTCACTAGAGACAGCATCTGACTATGTGAAAGATGAAAAGGCATGCTTCTATGGTTTCCGCTGCCTTGTGGTGGGGTATGAGTGGCAAATGGGACCTGGTGATGGCCTTCGCCACTTAGAAACAGAACTTGCTTTTCTGGGAGGAATGTGTGCTGCATCTTTAATGAAAAAGGATTTACTTCTACCTCCCACATCAGGTGAATTTTGCTATATCTCATCAATGTAAATGACAAATGTATTTCTAAATAGCTGTCAATTCCCATCTCATTCAGTTGCATTTAACATTCAAGAATGTTTGTATATTTACAATTAAATTACTACAACATCCAGCTGGAATGCTGTAGGTTGTGCTGTTCAGTGGTAAATGACGTTAATTTTCCTTGATTTACATTCAATTTTAAAAAATGTCAAAATTAATTATGTAATGTAAATATTCAGGAAGGCGTTGTTCAGGATTACCATCTGCTCATTTAGCAAAATGCTATCACTTTAATGCCCAATAAACAAAGCATGTGTTAGTATCCAGAATAATACAATAATTATTAAAATAATGGTAATAAATTTATCAAAATTCCGCTGAAATTTTGTTTAGGAAAGTGATTTAATAAGTTGATTGTTTTTAATCCCCTCTTGTTCCCCTTTAAAAAAACACGTTCCTAAGGTTTACACTGGATGATTTCATTCCATTCCCAAATTGGTCTTTTAGTTGAAGAACTGGAAGAGGACAGTGAGCTGGTAGAGGAGCTGGCTCAACAGGTGTATGGTGCCCATCAGCAGCTGCTGGGGAAGGGCTTTGCCCTTGCTACAGCTCCCACCATCAACCAGGCGTTGGACGGCATCTTGCCCTTCAGGTAGGCAGCCAACCAAATGCATGATGGCGCTTTGTGTGGTATTTTGTTATTGAATATGAGTTGGGTTAAGGGTAATATAAATTATTTAAGTTGGGGAAAAAGAAGAAATTATTATATTGAATAACTCCAGAATTAATTTACCAGAAATACATTTGAACATCCTACTAAATGCAGATTTCATTCTGATTATGTTCAAATTTTGCAGAATGAAGATATGTACTCATAAATGTTTTCTAAATATGCATTTGATATATTTCTGTTGTGTTTTGGTACCTGTGTCATACTGCAATTTCTTATATTCAGTCCAATTTTTCTAATGATAGCTTACAACATTAAAGATATATTTACAAATTTCATCACAATTCTAATACTATATTTTAAAGTATATCAATTTAATTTAATATATCAAACTGAAATGCATATGTATATTTCTTAAGGCTTCTTGACCAAAACATTTTATTAGCTCCCATTTCTCTTTTTCTGCTTCTCACTATTTCTGAGCGTGTATGAGAAAGGGAATATGTAATTAATAGAATTTGACAAGTTTTCCTGATAGTTTTGGGCTATTTTAAAATGCTTACTCAGTTGTTGCAAATAATTAATTATTTTGAGTACAATCAACCATTAAGATTCAACAATTAGTGTGTTATTTTGAAAACAGAGTTATAAATTGAAATGATTACCTTAACATTTTTAACTTTCCAACAACTTTAGCAATGATCATAAAGAAATCACAGCATCTGCTATCCAAAACCTGAAAATAGTTTTGGCACAAACAAAACTTTTTTCTTTGTGCTTTCAAAATAATAGAGGGAGAGAAATGAATTGGGATGGTACCTATGGCCACTGACAATATTGAATATTATTTTCTTTACGAATATTAAATTTTAAATTACTCAGAGACTGCCTTTCTTGATATGTTTCTTGAAATTCTTGGATGGTCCATGATTGAAGGACCATGAGTGAAGTAATTGTTTCAGACTCACAAAAAATATATTACATTATTTCTATTCATGTTCAAAAGTAATTTATGCAATTCCTCTCAAAGGTCATGCTTAATCAAATTATATTTTTGTGAAGAAAATTTATAATATTCGTGTGATTGTTTTAGTTCCACCTTTTTTGATTTAAGAATGTATTGTGGAATAATTAATCTTACCCTAACCAAAAAACAAATATAAAAAGGCCCTGAAGATGAAGGCCAAAGACCTTTGAAACATTGGTCTACAAAAATGTAAAAATTGTTTAATAACGTTTGTTATACTCTCTGCCTTAAAAAGTCAATGGACGTTCTGAGAATGGAAAATCATGAATGTTATTGTTGAACTCAATAGTCAACTGGTTTATTCTGCCAATTCAGGGTTCGAATTATTTTCTGATTCTTGGGTGCCACTGTTACTAATTTGCTTAAAAATTTTCTGAACACATCATTACTACTGGGTGATCTGGGCTGTCCGGGTGATGCCGTGTCGAAGGCTGAGTTGCCGACATTTCGACCATCCTGTTGTGGTCTTCCTCAGGGCTGGTATTACCACGACAGGATGGTCGAAACGTCGGCAACTCAGCCTTCGACGCGGCGTCACCCGGACAGCCCAG